TCTCGATGAGCTTGATTCAGTTTTGGGGGTTTCTAGAGATTCTAGAAGTCATTTAGAGCTGAAAATTGCTCATTTTAGTGCTTTTTTGACTCAAAATAAGTCATTTTCAGCCTAGTTTAGCTCAAAATTTGCCTATTTTCCTCTATTTTGGCTCAAAATTGTTTTTTTCAGGTCAATTTCAGTCAATTTTAGCCTAAAATTGCTCCAAATTGCTCATTTTCAGTGTATTCTCGCCCAAAACTAGCTGAGCCAATTTTCATGATTTTCAAACCATTTTTGGCTCAAAATTGCTCATTTTTAAACTACTGTAGTCATTTTTCATGTATTTTGGCGTATTTCGATCAAAACTATCTGAGTCGATTCTCAAGACTTCAAACTCATTTTTGGCTCAAATTAGGTCATTTTTAGCCTAGTTTAGCTCTTTTTCAGCTCGAAATTGCTCATTTTCAGCGTATTTTTGACCAATTTTAGCTAAAAATCGCTTATTTTTGGCCAAATTTCTCCCCAAAACCCACCTTTTTACATATGCGATTCTCCATATTTGAATAGTACCAGTTCAGTACAAAATGCGAGTCCTCACTCTGCTTCCTCGACGTCTTCACATGATTATTCTCGATGCCAACGTAGATCTTCTTCTTGGAACTCGTCGATTTGCCCCTATTCCAGAGATACGAGTCGATGTAATAGTCGGTATTCTTGAGTCCCACTCGTGGCTCGACCAGAAAGTTCTGTGGTCCCTTCCTGGTCTCATCGATGGTCAGTGGGAACTCCTTCTGCACCTCATGATCCTCGTAACATCGGAAGTAGAGGAAGTGGGCGGCCTTGTTGGGAAGGGTTAGGTCCGAGTTCTTCAGCGACAGCGATTCTCCTGTGAAGCCGGCGGAGGTGGTGGTTCGGGAGGACGGTTGGAGGGCGAAGTGCTGGAAAATAGAAGTAAATATCGGGGGGTTAAGGGCTGAAACAGCTTAAAACTCGTCTGAAATCGCCTGAAATAGGTGAAAATCGGCTGAAAATAGCTCAAAATTCGTCTAAAATCCACTAAAATTGGTCAAAATCAAGCTAAAATGACTCAAAAATGGTCCGAAATTGGCTGAAAATGACGTACAGTACCTAATTTTAGAGCATTTTATGCCGATTTTTTTTCCAAAGTCGAATTTTCAGTCATTTTCAGCTGCTAGGCGTTTTTTAGAGCTATTTCAAGCCGAAATTTGGTGAAAAACCAATCATTTTGAGCCAAAATTGGGAAATTTCGACCCCGTCGGACCGATTTCAAACCAATTTCAACTGAAAAATCAGAATTTTCAGTCATTTTCAGCCCCAAAATACCTCTGAATTGAGCTATTTTGAAGCTAAAATTGGCTGAAAATGATGTACATTACCCATATATCAGATTGCTCAGCTTTATTAGGATGTTAGAGCTAAAATATTAGGGTTTTAGAGCTAAAATCGTTTAAAAATGTGAATTTTTTCGACTGGAATAGGTGAAAATCGGCTGAAAATGGCTCAAAATTCGTCTAAAATCCACTAAAACCACTCAAAATCGCTTTTAGGTTCATTTTCGGTGACTTTTCGGTCAATTTCAACCAATTTTGACCCATTTTGACCGTTTTTGGAGACTCAAAACTAGTCTGAAATTGCCTAGAATCGGTCGAAAAGTGATCTCAAATCACTTAAAATCAAAATTTCTCGAAGCTGGCGCGCGTTTGACGCGTTTTCAGATCTATTTTCACTCAGTTTTGTGCTATTCCAGCTCATTTCCGATCAATTTCAGTCAATTTTGAGCGCCAATTATCATAGTTTTCGGCTCGAAATTCGTCTAGAATTGAGCTAAAAAGACTGGCAATCGGTCCAAAATCGGGTAATATGGAGCTGGCGCGCCTTTGGCGCGTTTTCAGAGATTTTGAGCGATTTCATGCTAATCTAGCTGATTTTTCATCGATTTCAGCCAATTTTGAACTATTTCGAATCCTCCTAGACGATTCTGAACCAATTTCGAGCGATTTCAGACTACTCTAGCTGATTTTAAGCCAATTTTCAGCAGCTCATTCCCTCCTCAAAACTTGAGGCTCAAATCCTACCTGTGAGCTATTCGAAGGTCTGCCCTGGTACTTCATCGACGAGATCGTCACCTCGTTGGCCACCGAGAACTGTCCATTCAGCACCATTTCCTCCTCGGCGATCTTTTCCTGCTTTTGAATGAGCTCCATCTCCTCGTGAACCACTTCCTCCTCGATCTCCTCGACAATCTCCTCCTCCTCCTCCACTTCGATCTCTTGCTCTTCGATGGGATGCTGCTCCAGCTCAGCGGACACATCGATTTCGTCCTCCATCGTTGGGGACGGTGGCTTCTGGAGGGATTCCAACCGGGCGGCGCGGGATGAAGTGGGCGTGGTTTGAGCCTGGACGAGCTGTCGAGCCAGTTGCGAGAGCTCCAAGTCACTCGATTTTCTGGAAATATCGATTTTAGGCGGGAGAGTATCTGAAAACCGCCCAAGGCCTCAATGTGCTGGAAAATGGCTTAAAAAATGAGCCAAATTGACCTGAAACGAGTCAGAAATCGGTTTTCAGAGCTCATTTTAGCTCGAAAGTCCTAGAATTCTGAAGCTGAGCTATCGAAAATTCCATGGGAGTTCTGTACATCATTTTGAGCCAATTCCAGACAAATTTCAGCTCCAAAAAGCTTTTAAATGGGCAAAACTGACCTAGAATACGTCAAAAATCGATTATTAAAGCTCATTCTAGCTCAAAAATCGTCGAATTTCGAAAGCTGAGCAATCTGATATATGGGTACTGTAGAACATTTTCAGCCAATTTCAGACAAATTTTGACTATTTTAGAACGATTTTAATCGATTTTTAAGACTATTTTAAGCCGATTTTGACTAATTTTAGGCCTATTTTAGGCATTTTAGGGGGGAGGAGAACCTCTAAAAGTTGGTTTTTGAGTCAATTTTAAGCGATTTTATAACATTTTTGACTGAATTTAGGCAATTTTGACTAGTTTTGAGCCTCCAAAAACGGTCAAAATGGGTCAAAATTGGCTGAAATTGAGCAAAAAATCACGGAAAATGTACCTAAAACGCAAAATTCAACAATTTTGGATCATTTTGAGTCTTTCCAGCTTGATTTCG